GCCACAGATCATCGTTTGAGCTTCAAACCAAAACGATGTCATTTCGATCCGCTGCAGGAATGGGAAAGAAAACGAACCCCACTGGATTTGATTTCCATAATTGAAGTTAGAACAGCCCAGCTCGTCCCTGATTTTTTGGATGGCGAATTGGGAGGTGAGATAGTTGCGAAAGAGGGAATCGAAGGAGACGACGGAGAGTCCAGAGGTGGTATCGATGGAAGAAAAGAATGGCCACTGAGCCGCCAATGCAGAAGGCTTGAGGAACTGGTCTTGGAACCTGCAATGCACTAATCAACACTTGCTCACACGATCTTCCTTCCCCGAAATCAAATGGTTGAGAAATGTTCTTAAGCGCCCTTGCTGCAAGCTCGAAAGCCTGATCAACGTAAGCAGACACCCAACGTCGTAGCAAGCATGCCCGAGAGAGCATCTTGAGACGAGATGTGGCGCTCGAACCCAAAATAAGCAAAGAGGAGAAACCGACCTGGGACACATAACGCTGCCAGCCAAGCTCATACATCCTGGGAGCGTCGTATTCACACCACCATCCTGTGCCATCACAGATGTTGTTGCCATCAATGCCACCACGCCAAAGGGTGATATCTTCGCGAGCCTCATCGTCGCTGGTCGTTTTTGGTTGGGAATCGTCGAAACTGGAGGTTCGATGGTGGAAAGAAAAGACCGAAGAAGAGAAAGCGTCTGAAAAGATTGAAGTCGAACAGAGAATATTGGACGCCTGGAGATGCCGTCCTGGTCGTCTTTACGCTTTTGACAAGCTCTTGAAGACTTCTGGAGCCCTCTAGAGCGGAGCTTCAATTTATCCCAGACAGTGGGAACCTTCTTAGTTTCGCGTGTTCGAGGCGATCTTAAGGCGATCAGCAACTTGCAGATAGATCCGAAACAAGGGAGTGCGGTAACACCGATTGCCCAATTCGCCCTTCTTTGCGTCGGTATTTAATAGTTATCACAGCTTATCAGTAGGAGCGGCAGAGCCGAAGTGAATGATCACGAATTAACAGACTTCAACCAGATTTGGACGGTGACAGGAATGCAGCACATTTCGAACGGCATGCGTTGGTACAGAAAGACGAAGAAACCAGGCGCATTCGCACAAGGGACAACGCTGCTGAAGCAGTTGTCGCTCCTTTGTCACCAAGACAAGGCCAGATTTTCTCTGGTCCTTGTCTCGATATCAATTGTTCCTGGTCACTCGTGATTGTCAAGAGAGAGAAGAAGGGAGAGCGGTAATCAGCCAACACAAGGCATGCAAGACTTTGATCCTCATTGTTTCCAGCCTGCGCAAATATGTCCATAAAAGGCACGAATATGTTCACCTTATGCTCATCCAAACACGTTCTCTTTCCAATCGCATCTTCAACCTAACCAAATAATGCCTTTTGTTCAACCTCTACCAGGAAGCAGCTCTCGCATTGTCGGAGCGAAGAAATGGTGTGCCATCTCTTGTCTTCAGCTCGAAAAGCAATTGCTGATAATCGACACGATGCAGGGTACGAGAAAGACGACCTGGCCATCCAGGGCCGTACTACACTCGATACGACTTCGCGGTCTATCCTTACAACCTGAACACCGTACCTCGTCGGGAGGGATCAGAGATGGACGAGCAATTAAAGCGTCTGGAGCGACTGCGAGATCACGACCTGCTTCTCGCACATTTGAACGGCCACGAGTTTCCTCCAGGGAACGAGTACGGTTTCGACACGCGAGTGGGGGTTGAAGAGCTTGCGAGGTTAGGGATGCAAATAAAGAGAAAGCCGTGGGAAGCGTCAGAGCGGGACCTCGATGAGAGGAGACAGGGGAGACAGAGGAGGGAAAGAGGATGGTCTTCGAGAGGGTGGAGGGATTTTTGGTCGTGGGATGGTCGGAGGAGATGGGATGTTCCAGTGCAGAGATACCCTGATGCGGCACTGTGGCTTTAGCAATGGTTGTTTCGCTCTTGATCGTAGATACACGTCTGGGACGTTATATGTTTAGATTTCGTATGTGATTTTAGTAATGGGATACTAAATTTGCTCAATGTAGCCATCATGCCCTCGGTAATTTAGGCAGTTGTTGCTGTCTTGAGAATTCCTGAATGAAACGACAATGGCAGCTATGAGATGTTGCTGTCAGCAACGGTAAATCCTTCAGACTAGCCTCACAGAAAAACGAAGTAATTATTGCACAAAGACTACTACTCGAATTTAACGCAGATGCTCACAGGTATCATCAATCGCTATCATCTTCAATGTTCTGAAACTGTGTCGCACCCATCTGTCTCCTTCCTTCATCCCTCCGCCGATGTTCCTTGACTCTCCTAGACAGATTCGGGTCATCTCTCAAGCTATTCATCGTGATCCTGAATGCCATGTTAGATCTCCCCAGGGTTGTAATAGGCAGGGATTGAGACATACTTTTTATCGCAGCCAGTCACAGGGCATTCAACCGCACCACCATTTTCCCTAATGTAACTGTAAACACCCTCACGAGAGTACTGGTGCCCGCAAATTGTGCTCTTCACAGCGTCCTCGAGCCAACCCATAGTGATTGGACATTTGAAAGTTTGAGTGGATCCCCCAACTTCGATGTCGGAATCCGAGTCGGATTCACCGTCGCCTTCTGCTCCCAAATAATCAGATGATGAACAGGTTCACACTGTCAGAGGTGAGGGGTAAAGAGAAACAACCTACTAGGAAGGAAGGATTTAGCTGGCTTCATCGCTGTGCCGGAATTGTTGACTTCCTGCTCTCGTAGATAAGACATAAAGCATTTCGGAGAGAGAACGAGGGTAGAAGGCGAACGTGAATCTCCTGTCTGAATTGAGCGTACGCCTTATTCTTTCCGTATTTCTGCACCTCTGTTTTGCTTGCCAACTCAGACGCTGCAGCCGCTACTGCCTCCCGTACCGTCTCTGCTGGTTGAGTCTATTGATTTTTTCCAAGAATTAATCTTCAGTATATTGATGTAGGTATGAGGAGTAACGAACCACTTCATCATCTCGTGATAAACGTGACCGGACGCTGGACAAGGCGGTCCTCCAAGCTTCCAGCTCAGAGATTTTGTCACTTAACGCCCTCCATTCTTTATCGAGCATTACGACGACATCATCCTGTTTCATACGTTCGACACACCGTCCCAATAAAGAATAAAGGGACAGCATAGTTGGATACTCACACCAACACCATCCTGAAACACCTTACACTCCTCCACGTCGATCGCCGCTTGCTTAATAAAGTCCAAACCCTCATTCAAAGCCATTTCCTTTACGTTCCACTCTGTGATTAAGTTATTCAACTTCCTCCCCCCAATGTCCTTCCCAATAAATACATCATCCGTATCGAAATCAAAGTCCAACTCCATATCCGCCTTGTTCTCCTCTTCCTCGAAGTCTCTAGAAGAAATTTGAGGTTTCTTTTCCTTCTTTGCAACCATGCGCCCTTTCCTCACTGCTTCTGGTGCTGGAGCTTCGTCCTCTGAACCAGCGGGTGAGTCCAGAGGTGAGGTGGCAATTGCTCTGGTGCGTCTTCTAGGAGCCATATGTGAGGCAATCTGTGGATATCAGATGCTAGTCCGTTTGCACCAAACACGTCTGGAAACTGGCTGAGATGTTTTGGACGCGACTTTCGTGATGGATTTGTTTGGTAGGAATGCTTGATGTCAACCTTGCCACTGCGACAGCCTCACCAAACGAAGCGAAGCGACCATTCTTGAGGAGGAATCCATAGTTCCAAAGGAGTGAAGATTGATGGATGGGCTGCCTACGGTTAATCCAGCGATGGGAAGTAGTGGGGAAGTGAGGTATGCCTTCCTCTCGCTGCATTTCAAAGGGGTGATGGACAGATAAACGTTGTATTGAAGGGGCACGAGGAGCCAGTATTACATTTCGCGAAGTGAGGTCTTCAAAGGAGTTGCAAATCGCTTTGTCTTTTCATTAGCATATATTTACCTGTGCGTTTCTCCCTCTTGTACTCTGGTTGCAACTTAACATTGGGATAAGATACCTTACCATGGCTGCACTCAGCCTTACCACTCTTGTCCTCTCCCTAATGAACGAATGTCCCACCGCCTCTTTCTACGTGCTCGAAACAGTAGTCAACTTATCTCTCATCCTCGAGGTAGCAATTCGTTGGGTGGCATTCGGAAAGGTGTGTCTCCTTAAACTCTCCATGACTCTTCTTTCCGAACAGCTTCGCTAAACGGACTGTTGGTTGACAGCAATTTTGGAAGTCACCATACAACATCTTCGACCTGCTTATAACCCTCTTCTGCATCCTCACGCTCATGTTCATCTTCTTCTCTGGCTGTTCAGCCAAAGGAGAAGAAATGTTCGACACCTTCCTCCTCATCGGAAGGAACGGGATCCAATTCTTCCGCCTCGCTTCTGTCATGCGACGGTACGTCGTCCCTCCGCCTAACTTTCCCTTACTGACTGGTAGTTGCACAGTTCGGGCAAATCCATTTTCAAGCGTCCCGCTGCTATTGACTTGAATGCGGCGCGCGACTACAGGTTCTCACTGGACCTTGACCTGGAGGACGAGGAGGCATTGGCGAACGAGAGGAGGGCGATGGGTGGAGATAGGAGCGCGAGGAGGGGAGGTGGAAAGGTACGAATCGAGGAGGAGGAGCCGATATTGGACAGCGAGGAGGAAGAGGATTCGTAGTTCCCGATGATCTGTGAGTTTAGCTGGTCACATTCTGTGGAATGAAGTAATGTCTTTCTTGCCACTTGGACATACTTTGATGTCGTATTTGGATGCCCAACTCTTTTGGAGTGAGGAAGTGTACACAGCAAGTCACGCAAGTTTCCTCTTCCGTGACCCAGAAGAAAGTTAAATATCTTTGCTGCTGTGCTGCGTTCAAAGCAGTCAGGAAACTTTTGATCTAGAATCTCACTGCTCTGGACATGAAAGTGAGACGGATGACCATGACGCAAGCCTTAACCTTTCAATGCAAGCAGTGTACCGGTAGTATATAAATATTATTTGGGGATAATGCAATATCCAGACGCTTTAGCTCAGTTGGGAGAGCGTCAGACTGAAGTTACAGTTAGCAATCTGAAGGCCCAGTGTTCAAGCCACTGAAGCGTCACCTTTTTGCTCCTTTCGATCCATTTGCTATTTCGTTCCGAACTTTGTTTTTTTATCTTTTCTTTCGATCGTCCTGACAGACTGGACGATTTTGCAGCGCTGTTTGAAGAGGGTGTTACTTCGCAGAAGTGTTCAAATGTCGACGGATCCAGCCCCAACCACCACTGAGTTTATCGAGCCAGTAGGAAAGACGATCAATCCCAAACCAAAAGCGAAATCTGCGTTTCGAAAGGACAATTCACGGCACTACAAACTCATCCATCGATCACAGAGGGATCCATTACTTAATGATCCAGACTATGGGGAAAGAGTTTTCGAAGAGATTGAGAGAAAAAAGAGGGGAAAGGAGCTAGAGAAAGGCGAGGAGGGAGAGCTCGATGACTTCGAGTTTGAAATTGAGGATGAGGAGGAGGAAAAGGTACGCTTATTCTTAAACGAGAGCGTGCGGGGTTCATTTTACTGTTGTCACTATTTCTGCACTGGTGTAGTGTGCTAATGTGGCGCGGATCCAAAATGTATCAACGAGGTTTTGCTTTATTGCAAACGTTCAGGTGGCATCCAACATGGACATTGCGTTGCATGTTGATTCAGCTGCTATTTTATTGCAACCTGCACGCCGTCAGCAACCCATGCTAGATTTGCTGCAAGGTTATTATCGAATATGACAGGCAGTGTACGCTTTGAAGACCAACCCATCCAACTGCCTATACTTCATCGAGAACTGTAGAAATAGAAATGTGGAGGAGAAAATACGCACCAAACTCCCGGAGCGTTTGATGCGTGCTCTTTGAAGGCAGAAGAACTTCTAGGGGGATATGTTGACATATCGTTGAAAAGAAATTCCCTTACTCCTGAAGACAGATGTACATCTCTCATATCTTGCTCTAACACGGTCACTTTCACAGGTTGCATCGACGTCAGCTTCGAAGGCGCAACATCAGGCAGGTCAGGCACCCCTCTACGGCATAAACTTCGATGATCGCTACTACGACTACACGAAGCACCTTCGTACGATAGGCGAATCCAACGGAGGTGTTTTTCTCGCCGCACCGAACGACTCTGCTGCGTCATCGAAACCTAAGGGTGATATAGAAGTGATCGATTCTCTACCCCAGGATGTTATCGCTCCCCAAAACTTGGGAGGGATGAAGGAATATCGAGCTTGGCTTGAGAAACAAGCGGAAAAGGGGGAGAAGAGGCTTGATCCAGATATGGATTTTGACCTTCGAGAGGTCTTAGAGGCTTTAGATGACGAGGCGTATGTGGAGAAGACGGAAACGGTTGCTCTGCCCAAGGAGAAGAAAGAGGCAGGGGTCAGAGAGGAAGATGAAGGCGACGATGACGATTTCTTTGGGGAACTGCTAGAAGGAGGGGAAGAAAAAGATGCTTCGAGGAGAGAAGTGTTTGGGAGGCCAGAGGAGACTGCATGGGAGAAGGAGATCGGAGCATTCAAGACCGGAAGTAAGAAGGTGGAATTCGGAAGTGAGTACGATATAGAGGAGTATGAGGAGATGGATGAACTTGGTAGCTTGCCTGATTATGGAGCACACGGAGGAAGCAAGAAAGAATGGATGAAAGCTGAATCCGCCATGAGTGGTATGTCGGCGGCGAGCAAATTTCGAAGCGAGGGCTTGAGAGACTTGGATGAAAGATTTGAGCAGGTGCGCTGGATACTCTTCTCCTTTCATTTCTTCTGTATTAACTCATGGGTAGATCCAAAAGCAATACGAGGATGAAGATTCAGAACTAGAGGAGGAGGATGATTCCTTTCCAGAAGGACCGCGTAACGAGGTGTTGGACGAGTTTCTCAATCAATACGAGCTGTTGGGATCCCATGTGCGGACAATGATGGATGGAGAGACAGGATTAGACAAACTCGGTACATTACGAAGAGAATTATTACTCGACCAAGATGGGAAGAAGGACGTGCTTGAGCGTGCTGCACAGATCATGGCGGGAAATGGATGGCAGGAGAAGCTGCAGGAAATGACGATTATCGGTATTGGACCGCAGGAAGAGAAATGGGATGTCGAGAGTATCCTCAGTGCGCTTAATCTATTCTTCGTTCCCCGGCCACTAATGAGATCATAACAGCTACAAAAACGAATCTTGAAAACCATCCCAAGATCCTCCGTCTGAAGAAGCAGGTGAAAGCGCGCAATGCAGTCAACGCAAATGGAGAAGTCCGTATCACGCTCGACAAGCGTGGTATGCCTCTCGTCTCACGCCCCCCGCCTATCGTCGAAGATGCGGAGTCCCCCCATTCAGATGATGAGGATTCATCTTTCCCTTCGCACACAACCATCACGCGTGCACGGGACGAGACGGCAGAGGAGAAGAAAGCGCGGAAGCAAGCTGTTAAAGAAGAGAGGAAAGGAAGGAGGGAGGAAAAGAAGCACAATAAGGAACAATTTGGAAAGGAAAGGGGAAAGGTTATAAAGGAGCTGCAGAAGGAGAAAGAAGCGAGAGGCGTTGATAAAAGCGTTAAGACAGTCAGACTCTGATGCTTTAAAGGTTCAATCTGTTGTGAATACCGGCTACTTCGTTTCGTCGTTGACCTTTGCTCCTGTTGGATCCAAGACTGTTTCGATACGACGCAGTGCCATCCTATGTTGCACAGTGGCTAAAAGTGACCTTGGTTAATGCCAAATCACCATGTTTCCGGGGGGCTTCCTGCTTGTGAATGCTCCTAATCCTAATACATTGTCCATTGTCCCTGGGCTTGTTTGTGAGACGAAAACGTAAAAATGTTATGACGACGATTGACTGAACATAACGTAAAAATGTTATGACGACGATTGACTGAACAATTCGTGTCAAGATGTTGGACATGGAAAGAACTGGTAATACAGGCTCTAACAGCTTGGGTTGGGGCAGGACAAGGAACTTAGGGATGGAAGTAGTCAGGATATCCAGGTAAGCTCAGGTTTTTCGAGATTCCTGTTTTAATCAGTGTAAGTTAGCAGGTTTTCTATGACTAGCCATTAATTGTAACACTCTATGTCAGACTGTCAAAGGTGGAAAGTTGTTGTAAATATTGGCGATCTGCTTCAGAATGGGATAAATCTTGAGTCAGCTAATCCTCCTTGACAAGACAGGCTTACAGGCACCATTTTCGATTAAACTGCAAGCTGACGCTTGCAAGCAAGAATGGCTAGCGCTGGATTGATATTGGCAAGACCGAAGGTGACGTGTTAATGGGAGAGACCTGGGGCCTGGGGGAGACAAAAGTCGACCAAAGGTGCGCGCTAATGTTTCTGTCGATTCAGTAAAGTCATTTGGTCGGCGCACGGGTATTATTTTGAGCCGAGGAGGAGTTTCTTCTCCTTTTCTGCAGGTTTTGATGAAGGAAGGCCTAGACCCTTCAGCTTCAAAGACCGAAGGGGAAGTGCTGGCAAAGCCAATGATAGCGAATGTGAGGCTGTTTACAAGGACTGAACTGGCTTGTCGACTAACTGAGATTTCGGCTGGTCTTTATTCTGCAGTTTTCACCCAAGGCGTCGACGGAGCGATTGCGTTTGCTGTTTGCTGGATCACTTCAGAGCTGACACTGTTGGTCAGTCCCGTTTATCTCCAAACCAATTTTACCTGAACTAGCATAGGGGTTAATACGGCATTTCCGGGAGGTAGTTTTGATATGCGGTTGGAAGATTCAAGCATTCTAGAGTGGGAGAGAATTGGGAATTAACTGTTCGGATCATTGGCTCGAGATGAGCTTTTAAATGTCAACAAGGTATCCATACCCAGGCGGTCCTTGTGAAACACAAAGGTATCTAGTCTAACCAGCCCTGGATGTAGCTACATGCCACTGCAATCAACAATAGGTTGCTCCGGTTACCCTCTGATGCGGCTTAGTTGATTGATACCTGTGGTGAGAATGTAGGTAATGAGCGGAACTGGGTTCCCCAACATAGTCTCGAGTTGCAGTGCAATGATCTGTGCCCTTGCCATTCTCATGCCAATATCTCCTGTGTAAAGACAACAGCGACATTGCGACATTGCAGAGTTCGCGAATCCAGAAATGGAGCAGGGTCCATGCTTTGCAGGACTTGGGAGCCGAAAAGAACAACTAAACAACAAACAGATCACCTCTGCAACTGCTGCACCAAATCACATCATCGCCAATCTTCGTTCTCCTGACCACTGGCTGTCCATCCCATCCTTGAGCCGTTGTAGGTGTCGGTGGGAACACGTTCATGATCGCGCTATCCGGTGGTGGAGGAGTGGCTTCTTCAATATTGAAAGTCAAACCTCTACCAGTTGCAGGAGCTGGCGTCAAGTCCTTAATTCCAAGTTCTTCTTCCATCCGTGACTTCAATGCTACCAATGAAGCGCGACGAGCGTGACGTACAGCAGGCGTGAGTGGCGCTTCATCCAGAGGAGAAGGAGGGACCGGGGAGTATGGGTCTGACTGTGAGCGGTGAAGAGAAACAGATTCGTTGAGGGTCGGGAGATGGGAGGCAGATCGACGGTGAGGCAATCGTTCGGAAACTGTACGGCGTGGGAGGCCAGTGGAAGAGGGCGATGGAGTGCGAGTTGGAGCAGGGGAAGGTGAGATTGGCCGCATGGACTGTGTGATGAGGCCAGGGATGGAGAACGATGATGAGGGACATCAAGTCCCTTTCGTTCCTTCTTGAGGTTCGTAACCGACATTGTCAGTGAGTGTACATCGTCCTCTAGTCCACCAATCTGTTTGCGCAGGACGAGATTCTCATCTTGATGCTGATAGACCTGAGATTCGAGGTTCTTAATCTGCACCCGAGCTTTTGAGAGATCGATCTCATGGGACTGGTTGAGGGAGTCGATATATTCCTTATGTTGAGCAATGATCGAATCGAGGTGTTCCCGGTCAACCATATCCCTCTTCTCCTTGTTAGAGTTCTGGTACGACAGAACCTCCTCCTCCCTATTCGCTAACTCGCCGCGTAGCTTCTCCATCTCAGCCCGTAGCGAATTGTAAGAACTTTCCTTGTCTGAAGCATGCTTTTGAATCACATCCAC